GTGCTATGTCGGATGTATACTAAGTATAATTACTAGTGAAATGTATGGTAAACTTTCACAAAACTCTCGTAAAATTCTTCGAAATGTCGTGTTGTCCCACGATTACAATATTTTCCGGATAAATTTTAAAAGCAAATTCTCTCCGTGTAGAATCTGACTCCTTACAAATGTCATAATGTTAACATTAAGAATTGTTATTTATGGCACTATTTCTGTGTGCAAGCTTCGTATGAAAAGTATAAAGCTCAGAGAAAAGATAAAGAATTTCATGCGGATATATCTATAATACGGCGTGCAGTTTTCTTCTTGCGAGAAAGTGCTATGCCGCATTCCCCGGCGGGAACTTTGTTAGGTGACTTTTCCATGTTAACATTAAATAGGCATCAAAATAGGATATCATAAAGGGCTTTTTTGAAAGACACCTTATAAAAAAATAACTTATCGATGTCATTTTAAAGAGATTTTAATAAAAAGCCTTCTTAAAGAGCTCTTCCTCTCAATATTGCTCACTGGGTTACGAAGTTTCACTTGCACGATCGTCACGCGAAAAGACGAGTCTTCTTAGAATCACGCTTTATGCTTCTAAGTGACTCACCTTTGTCGTACATCGCCGTATGCGGATGCAATAATTCTCCAGTTCGCCGTCTGGCAAATCGAACTTGATAAAAGAATTCAATGTAACAATAAAACAAATCTACTCGCGATTGATTCTTTTCACAGATACATTTCCCTAAATGCTCAAAATAAATATTACAAATTTTGGACTCGTTTCATTCTTGCACTGAGATCTAAGAGTAGTTGAATTTCTCTGCATAAATTCGACCTGTAACGTAAAGTTGGACCGATCTTGTCCGTGCATCCCGACACGAGCGACGCACCGTGAACGTGAACTTCCCGATCGTCTTGCGCGCTATCCCGATCCTTTCCTCGAAGGGATAATCATTGGGAATACAGGTTCTACGAATAAGAATAATATCACCATATGCAGTACAGTCGTAGATGCCCCTTGAAATCGTCACAGCCTCTGGCAGATTAAAAATAACGCAAGCTCTCTCTCTACAGTAGTGTCCTATTAAGTTCGACATTCGTTCAACGACGACGTCGCAGCTTCGCGTCACCGAGCATCGAACTTGCCCGGTCGTTGAACGCATCTCGAATTTAGCATTAAAAAAAACAAGAAAGTTACAGTTACAAAAGAAACTAAACTATCGAGCTGTTCCTTCTGTGCTTCGTCGCCAAAAATCACCATGCGAGTGAGACTGTATCCCCTCGATAATTGCGAAGAGATTTCTCGACTTGTTTCTAAATCGCGGGCGAGACATTCGCTTAATGGTGTGCGCAGGGTCGAAAGTGGGCGAAGCTCTCGCAGGTCGAAGAGGTCGAAAGCGCGAATACGTTTATGTGGATCGAAAAATCGAGTTACACGCGACGAGGGATGTCGCGTCTGATGCTGCCTGATTAGCGAGCGAAAAAAAAAGAAAGACAGTTTAGTATTGAAATCCAAGATCGATTTCGCTGGACGAGGCAAGCTCGAAGTCGCGTGACACGTCGCTCAGCACGCGCGTTCTCCATTTTTCACGTGTGTCACACGACAATCGCCGCCGTAATTACGCGTGATCGTATGTCAGATTAGACAGATCGCGGTTGGTTTCATCCTTTCTTTCAATATCGACCCTGTTTCCCGCGATTTTAACTTTCGCAGGCTAATCCGCAAACGTGAACACACTGATGCTGCTTCTTTCGACCGTGAAACGTGTGGTAAATGTCGCTTGCGATTTTAAGCGACATAAGTATTTAACTCGAGTCTTGGAGGAATCGTTAATAATTTTTCAACGTTCTCGAACACAACTTGTCTGTACAATTTATCTCATTTCCGCTTCACTAAATTACATAGAATTTGCAACGAAAAGGCTTTTGTCTTGGATAGTTCATAGCTGTAGACGAGGCAGAGCAAGCGAAGAACCATCTAAATTTGGAATAAGTATCTGGCATTTGCTGGGGAGACAATTATATCAAACAGATTTGCTTTTCTCGACTGTCTCTACATAGTCTGCTATCACAAGTAAAGCAAGCGTACTCAATCGCAAAAATTATCCCGCTGTCGGGCAAACGCCGTCAATTTAAAAGGCGCAGAATTTCCGATGACGTCATCTTCCAAGATGAAATCTCTCGATCTGGACCTTACCGCCGCGGTCGCTTGTCCACAAAGCAAAAGAAGTTAAGGAGAGGAGGATACAATCCCGCGCGTACGACCATGTTTTAAAAAGTCAGTTCCATTGCAGATACGTAAATGTATATACAATTATCACGAGTCAGTCTCCAGCGTGAGCGATGATGTGGTTTACCGGTGAGCTTTCCAATGTGTACTGTATGTAATGTGGTACGTGTAATGTATGTCCCTCTATGTGTATGTAACGTGTATGGGTATATACGCGGGTGGGGCTACGCGGGTGTCCGGGATTATTCGGTTTGCATGGTGATCGAGCAGTAAAGCGGAAGTCGGAGGGTTTACCGGTTACCGAACGCGCGCTTTAGGAGGCGCAGTAGGTGGACAGTTCGCTTATCGTGCACGCGTTGAGGCAGCATTCCTCGTGGATACCTCGCGACTGTCTTCGGTAGCGTCTGCTGCCGAGGCGCCCGTCCAATATCGCCCGTGCCATCGTTCGCGACAAGAATGGGGTGTACGGGGGAGAGAACTCATAGGTGAGCGGGTAGTCGGCCATTTCCATCTCTGAAACAAAAGCGGAGCACTGTGTAAGTGTCGCGAAGAACTCGTAGTTGGGCTCCAGCAGAGCCAGGTGGAAAGAATTCCAATTTCATTTAACGAATCCCCCCCTCGCTCATTTCCTTCTCACTTATTCACTGTACACCTCTGTATGCTTCTTATTTTTGGGAAAATGTAGAGAGGTTTTGAGATTTTCGAGAAACGTAAGTCGCTATCGCCGACGTTCGCTTCTTCCCACGTTGCGAAAGAAAGTTGAAGTAGAACGTTGGTCAAAAATCTCAAAACTCTTTCTCAGTGCTCGAATTGGGGAATGACGTTTCGTAATTTATTACAAGAGGGAACAATAGTTTACATTTAAACGGACGATAATTCGGTGGAAAAAAGTTCACAGCTGATCTCGATGTTCGCAAATCGGAATAACGCTGATTTCATTTGCGCCACGCTCGACAGCAGTCGCGATTTTGTCCCGCAAATTTTCCCGGCTTTTTGTTTCGATAAAGAAAAGTGGGCGGTCTATTTACCTGTCACGTGTGTCATATTAATCGAGATAGATAACAAGAATTTGCTTTCTCCGCGATCGTCGATAAATCGTACGGGCATCCAGAGATTCCGGTGTCAGATTGCGCGGATCTATTTGAGCGATTAAGTTCGGCGATAGGCTGCTTTATGCGTCCGAAAGGGATTTGTGTAAATTCCCGTTGTCCCCTCGCTTGTTCTCGCGGCGAAAAAGGACCGCGGGCAAAGACGCCGTTAAAAAGAAAAAACGTAATGTCCCCGATTGTATTTAAGTCATTCGACGATTATATGGAGAGTGCGTCGGCTCATGATCCCACTCAGGAATACGTAACGCGAGCTTACATGCATTATTCATCGACGACAAAGTGGCGATTACTTGGTTAATTGCGGGCACGGATTGATCGCGTGCTTAATCGCCTTTTGTAAAGTACCATGCTTGAGAAGCCGTTAAAATTGAAAGGTCCGGCCGATAAAAATTCCCTCATAATCGGCGTCGGTGCGCAAGTCTGCAATGTTCACTTTAAACATGCGGCTGCATCTAAATTGCACGTACGAATTACGGTCTGACCTCATTCTTACATTGAGCCATTTAATTATACGTCTAGCGCAAATTAAGCCTCATTCATATCTCCAAACGAGTCGCTTTAGATCGGCGGGTTTAATATTACGAGTGACGGGCACGGCTCGAGGCGCCGAATAAACGCGCTTGCGACGGACATTCTTCCGTAAATGCCCCCGCGACGCCCAAATCTACGCGGGTATCCAGTAATTTGGCGCTTACGCCGGATAAGTATCGGCGCTTTGCCGCTGTGAAACGCTCGTGCCGTCGCGGGTGACATTAATCGAGAAAGAAGGAATGCGAACGGCATTAATATTAATGGCCGTGTCGCCGCATTACAAAGGCAAATTTCGTTACGAGGCGGCTGCCATCGAGAAATCTTCCTCAACATTATCCCTCAACTTCCTATTATTAACTTCCTAAATGTGTTATCATTATGCTCGCACGCACGCGAGAGCGTCATCGACATATTCCGTGATTTTCCTCGCGCGCAAATCGCTCGCCGCACGAAATGAAGTGGTCGGAGGGAAAATGTTGTCAACGGGAATTTCCATGTTCCACGGAAGCAAATTGTCGCTACGTTTCTCTACGCACTTTAATCGCAGAGTAAAGGCGCGTTAATAAATGACAAATTTAACGCGTTTGCAAAAATATTTACTGAAAAAATATTAATTACTCTATTCAAGTAACTCGATGTAGTCAGTGGTTAAGCCTTGAATTTTTGTGTCCTATTATTTTCATGTAGACAACTTGAAGATTCATGATGAAAGATACTTGTTAAGGCTGTAATGATCGACGAATGGCCGCTAGTTAAACAGTCGCTTTGAGCTATGATTATATCGCGAGAATGAAACACGACTCTCTTGTGTCCACACATTTCGAAACATAATTACTTTTAATGTTATCACGCGGAGGGAGAGAGAGAGAGAGATAAAGGCGAGTTTTCGCGCGTTCGTCAATGATCCGTAATTGGTACATCTATCCGTTATTTGGCGTTGATCGGCAGGGAAATGTTTTCCCTAACAATTAGCTTAAACTCACCGGGCTCCTCGTTCTTCTTAAACATCGAATTGTACACGCCATCACAGATTAACTGTAGAGCATTGGAGAGCTTCTTGCCGCAATATCTCTGCGGCGGGCTTCTGGCGGATCCCGCCGATCTGGATTGAGAGTTGCCGTTCATCTGTGCGTTTCCCGATTCCGTCACAAGAAGCGCGACGGCGAGCATCAGGGTCACCAGGACGTTCAATCGATTCGCGGACATCTGAAAGTGATACCGTCCTCGTTTAATTACGCCCAGGAAATTGGATTCGTCATCTCGCTAATACTCTTCGGGTCAGCAATTAAATCGCAGTCCTGCGAAAACGAAACTTTGCATTTCTGTAAGAAGTACGGCAGAGTGTTCGGCTTTCGCCTTAACATTTATTGCAATTGGCCTCGGTAATTCGTGCCGGAGAGGATTTTAGAAAGAAGGAGAGCGAGAGAGAGAGAGAGAGAAAGAGGGCGGGACAAAAAAAAAGGAAACGCGCGTGTTTATTAGAAAGGGGTAAAAATTACGGAGCGGCCGTCTCGTCCGTCGGTGTTATCGCGCAACCTTCGAAATGAGGAAAAATGAAATCTAACGGGGACGACTGACCGGGCAGACTGTTTACTAAAATAATGTCTCATTATACCGGCGTGAAGTTTATTTGACGCTGACATCCGCTCGGACATATTTTTTTAGCCATCCGCGCAGACGTCGGCACCACTAAAGCGCAGAAGCACATCATCGTGCGGCTCGACGGACCTCGCCTTGGGGAAACTCGGCGTTGCCCCCCGTTTATCGGGATTAATTAAATGCGCGCGTATAACAGCCGCGACGGCGCGGCACCCGAGCGGTCGCGCAGGGCGCCTCTATTTTTAGATATCTTTCGCTTAAATATAAATGTTGCGACGACGAGGGAAAGAAAGTGGGAGAGAGGACGCGTACTCTCTCTCGTCCGCGGGTGCCGTGTAATCGAGGCGTCGCGACAGAACAAGAGAAAGAGGAGCCGCCTCCCGGCGCTTTGTCCATAGGAGCGACCTTTGTTCACACGTTTGCGCCAGCACAATTGCAATCTGCTCCGCGATCAAGCGGACTGGTACAGAAGTCCTTACCTCCCCTCGCTCCTCTTCGTTATTTTAGGGACGCCATACGCGGCGGCGCGAAACGCGACGGTCGTCTCGCGTCTCTTCAGGAAATTTCGGGAGCATCCGATTCCATCTCGCGCCGCGGTAACTTTTAATTATATTCGCGAGACAACGCTGCCCCGAACAAAATGATAATTGCGCGCGGCGGTATTTTAACGAGGTAAACTTTTCATATGTTCAGGCAGGTGTGTGTGTTTGCATATGCATGCGCACACATACGGATACGACTTCGAGAGTATTATCCTAGTTTGTTCGGGATAGGTCGCCGGTGTTTCTGCTGTGTCCCCTTCAAGTTCCACCAGCGACCGCTGTGGTGTTTGCGGTTGGATTAGAACAATGTTGACTTGTTTTGCAGGCTACGTCGCATTCGATTAGCCGCGTTATCAACGAAAATGGAAATAAGGCCAGCGGCCTTGATACGTGAATGTATGCGGGGCTGCGGTATAATTTCGCAGAGCAATAAGTCCACGTGGTCGCAAAAGTTTTCGAATACTCTCGAGGTTTAGGAAAAGTAATTGCGGGTGTATGCAGAGAGTAATTATGGAATAGAAAAAATTATCAAGAGTAAAACAGCAGAGATAAAATTAAGTTGGAGGTAAATTAAAACACGAACTTGTAAGGTTAATCCGTGGAAAGATATGAGACAAAAATAAAAAGATACGTACGGATATGGTTTTTAGAGGGAGGAGTGGGGAAATTCGTTCGAAACGCGTCTGCGGAAAATTCAGTAAAACCCAATTACAAGTGTGCAATGTTTAACTCTTAGATGTAACGTTTGAAATGGAAATGGTTGGGGAATCAAGTAAGGAAAAAGAAACGGTGGAAACGTAGAAAAAAATCAACAAAAACGAAGGGGGTTGAAAAGTATAAACGTTAGATCAGGGATAATCAGGAGATATGTATCGTATTCAGAATAATTCTGCGTCGCTGTGTTTCTTTAGACCATGCTACTGTTTTCTTCTAAACTATTTTGGAAACTAATATTTTACAAAAGCTAGTTTATTGTTTAAAATTTGAACATTATCCCACTTGACATCGTGGTTTCTAAAAAACATGGCATTTCGTTTGTTCTACACATATGTAGCCTCGCAATCTTGGCAGGTTATCGTGTAAGTTTTAGGTTCGAGATTGTCTTTTCACATCTCTCCTAATGCATTTTTTTTAGGACGTATTAAATCGAAAATGCAATTTTGAAATTATATTCTTCAGTTATGAATAAGAAACTTTCTTAAATAGCTTCTATGTGTAAAGAACTGTTCACATTTCCTTTCCTGAAACTGAGGGTGGGATAACAATAATATTTTATCCATCAGATTGGACTGTAAATGACATTTCTTTTGTAAGGCAACGGATGATGAGAATAAAATTCAGATATTTTCCCGAAAAAATGGGTTTGTCAAATCAAAAACGATTCTCTAGTTAACAATTATGGTATCAATAAAATCTGGACGATCATCAATCTGTAATGCGAATGCTCTAGAATGCAAACGTCCCCAGGTCTGTGGACTTTTAGCAAACCATAAACCTTAAATAAGATCCCATCATTCGACAATTTTCTTACAAGTATCGTCAATATAAGTTTTTCGTTTTTCCATCTATAACTTCGGTTTTTACATCTTTCCATGGATTAATCTCATAAACTTATATATTAATTTAACATTTATTACATAGTGCGGATAGCAGGAGAATTTATTTTCATTAATATTTGTAATTACAATATTAGCGTGCCGGCTTCAGTGAGTTCCTTTGAGACTTTCTCGAATGTGTAACGCGCTATTTTGACATTTCAAGGGGGATAGAAGTTATTCACGATCGATTGGCGTATGCAATATCATTAGGTAAACGCGTACCAGAGTCATTGTCGTTGCACAGACACACATTGACTTGCCCCCTTCAAAACAAGTTACGCGAATATAGGGCAGACCACTTCTATTTCCGGCGCATCGTGGAGATGGGAATTAGCGTTCAGCACTAAGCAATAACCGAAGGAAACGGCGCGCATTGATGTCGAAGTTATCTAACTCCATTTATCTTTTCCGCGCGATTAGTATAGTAGCGCGATGATGAAAACACGCGTGCAACACTTGTAATTCCTCAGGAGCGTTGCTTCACCTTCTACACAGTCAACAGATCGATTGGTCGGAATGAGGTAGCTTGGCTCTTTTTAAATTGATTGGTCAATCGCTCTGCTAGAAGCTGCATCGTATCTTGGACATTTTTCTCGTTGTACCATTGACGAGATCGCGAGATTGAGAATTTGCGCGGGGCGGCGTGCGAACTTTTTTAAAATATCGAAAATCAATGAGAAGCACACGCAGGGAAAAAGTACGTTCTCCCCTTCACTCGTCGCGGAAAGAAATCGCGTATCTGACCACCGACGAAAAATACAACCCGGACGAGGTAAATAAGTGTGAATGTGTTTGCGAGGCGGCCGAGAGACTCGCGGTATCTCACCGCGAAAATGATAAGCGCGAAAATGATAAGCGCGATCACACGCCGCCGACATGCCGGCGTACACAAGACAAATAAAAAGAAAGAAAGAAAAGGAAAGCATCGGCGAAAACGCCCGGACCACGGTGTACGGGAATGTTCCCAGTGTCCTGCTTCGCGATCTGTAACGCGGTCATATTTTCAGCGCGAGAAGCGGCTCCGAAGACTTCGCCTCAATTCAAGAAAATTCAAGAACCGATTCGCACACAGGAATGAACGTAAGATGAAAAAGGGTCGAGTGGTACATTCGCCTTCGGTTTTACCCTTTTATCATAATCGAATTAGTTTTTGGTTTATCGGTATTTCTTTTTAAAGGGTGGGAGGTCTGGGTTGAGACCCTGGTTGAGGTATTATTTTTCGCAATAGACTTAAAATAAAAATTAATAAATAAGAAACAAGGCTTTAATAAACAATATAAAATCAAAAACAATGTTAATAATTATATTGAACGATTAGTAAGGGCAATGTAAGCCTGATTGAAGGTGATAAATTGTATATGAGTAAGTTATAGTGTAATATATATTAAAAGATTGGTAACAATATGACACAGGTTGAACGGTTCGGTCTACGCATGTGACCCTCTTCGGCAACATAATATCAAATATATAAATAATTAGTCCAAGTTCTTTTTAAAATAAAAATTATTTAGCTAACATCCTGCTCTTACGCCTTTATTACTTCGTGTTAGCGTTTTCACATTAGAGCCTTGTGAATTTTATTAATTGTTTAACTTACGCTGGATGAGAAAAGCGTTTCTTCACTTTCACACGCCCTGTGTTGTAAGACTGAGAAATATGTCGGCGCGCAGTTTCTATTTCGCAATTTAGCCACGATACGTGACTTTCGTGAAACATTAGGCTGTTTATTGCGATAAATATTACCACATACCTCGGTGGTCGAATTGGTGAGACGCCCGCCTAGTGAGAGGGTGGTCCAGGTTCAGACCCCGGCTGAGGTGTTATTTTTCGCAATAGACTTACAATTAAAATTATTTAGACACTAACATCCTGTCTCGGCTCTTACTCCTTTACTTCGTATTTGTATTATTGTTTAAGTGGGCCAATAACGTCCCAAGCGAGACCAGAAGAGGCGAAAAGTGTAAGTGGAGCTTACATGTCCCAGTGGTCAAGGGTCAAAGGTATTGCGATTCTCCTCGCGCGAGAGAGGAGCACATTAATTGCAGCTGCCTTTGAATGCGCGCTACTTCATATTTTGCGCATAAGATACTGCTGTATCGCGCTGCTTCAAATTCGCATAAAATGAGACCGAACAACAATTACCGTGTCGATAACGTACGCGTATGCCGTTCATTGGCTTCTCGTCCGGCGCCTCCGGCGGTTGTAAACAGTACCGAACTACATAGATCCTCCCGGAGTCTCGCGAGAAGAGACGCATTTCACGATAGCGAAAAGTCCCGTAAATTGAAAAGAGGACTCGTTCTTGATCTGCCCTCTCTTTCCTCCGCCCCTCCTCCGCCCATGGACCATTCTCTCTCTCTCTCTCTCTCTCGCGCTCTCGTTTCTCCTCTCGCGTTCCTACTCACTCTCTCACTCCCTCTCTCTCTCTCTCTCTCTCTCTCTCTCTCTCTCTCTCTCCGGCAAGACG